AAAAAAAAAAACAACACATTCTCCTATATAGTTAAAAACCCAAATCTATCAGAATGTAAAATCTAGGACTACAGAAGACAACAAGATGTTACAAAGATACATAAAGTACTTGTTATCAAGCAGCTTTATGACAGCTCAAGGGCAAGAGAGTAAATCATTTTAGACTAACTTACCAATGGCCTTTGTGTAATGCCTTGCACCAAGCAACAGTTCTGGAGCCCGATACCAAAATGTCACAACCACTGGATCCAAATCTGCTAGTGGCTTTAGAGGAGAATTGAATAACCTGGCAAAACCCATGTCAGCTAAAAAATAAAATATATTAACATAAAATTCAGTTTGACATGTACTAGAATCACATATGGTTGACAACCACAGTTACTAACAATAGTAACCCTTTTCCTCCCTTTTTAATCACAGGTCTGCACTAGGCACTAGACAGGAATTACTACATTTATCTTTAATATCTCCCCTCTGAAATAGATAATATTCTTGTGCCTGTTACACTAATGAAGAAATTGAGGCTTAAAGATACTCTGACTTAGCCACAGCCACAGTCATAGAACTAGTAAGTAGAGTCAGAATTAAAATCCAGGTCTGACTTGAGAATTCTGAGCTTTCAGACACAGTTACAGTAACATTCCTCAGTATTTTTAAAATCCAAAATGGACTAAAAGTCTCCACGATTAGTCATGACTCCTGTGTGCCTACACACCTAGAAACTGCTTCCCAGTTCAGTGTGTGCTGCAACCGGACGCTACGCACGCGCAAGGGCTAATTGGTTGATCTCTTCCCAACTCTGTGCTCAGAGACAGCACGTGGTGACTAGGACTTGGCTACGGGGCAGTATTTATCTCATGGAAAACAGCAAATGCTATAATTGGGGACTTATTCCCCCTCGAGTGCCAACTGTTGAACAGCAATCAGCACATCACATACATATTTCCAAGAATGTGAATAGGAACACATAAGAGATAATTTATTATAATTCAGCATTTAACAAAGTAAACAACTAAACTAAAGTTAATCATTTTAAGTATTGGGGTATACAAAACTAGTAAAAAAAAATATTTATTACTATAATAAGATTCTGGAGGCTAACTTTCTTAAAATTTCATAAATAAAAAATGCCTTATATCTGCAAAATGCTTTGCAGTTTATAAGAGGCTTTTATGTATATATTATTCCATTTAATCCTAATAAGAACACTGATTTAATGAGCATTTTGCTGCCCACTTCTGCCCAAAGCAGTTAGTTATAAATGACTTGCCCACAGTCACAGGAATGGTAAGCAAAGATGTGAGCATTCAAACAAAAACCATGTTACAATTTAGAAACTACATTCTTAACCACTGATCTTGACACCCAATAAATTATACACATGGTAACTGCACAACACAAAGGGAAAGTCATAAGACTGATAAACCTCTATAACTTGAAATATATAATATCCATGAGTGCATTTTAATTATGTAAGGAGCCCCCAGGTCCTATATGATGCATGAATGCACATAAAAGTTTCAACTATAGTGTCATTTAATCTAAAACTAACATGCTATGATATGACATACATTAAAATTTTAATTTACGGTGGTTTTGTTTCCCTAGAGTTTCAATTATTTATAAGACTTCCTGCGAATGCTTTGGAATATCCAGATCTTAAAAACTAAAGCTATCCAAGAAAGCCTATGTTGATACTTACTCTTTTAAAACTAAATTTCCTTATGCAAACAAAAAATATTCAAAATCATTCTTTCAATACAGGGTGGCCATAAAGTTCGCATGCAATTTTAAATAATTATTCTGTAATATTATTCAGTATTCAAAGCACTGCTTTATATATTTAACAGATGCTGACTGTTGTTAGTGGACAACAATGATGAGACGCTATTACCTCCCCAGAAATGCATTTTGAAGGAAAGGCTAGGGCTGTATTTATCCTTTTATTCTCTACCTCCACAGTTTTAGTTTTACCTAGGTTTCACTGTCAGATGAAATCAAGGCCAGAAAGAAATAATAAATGTTCTTTAAAACAAGTGCTATTATATGAACTTTACAAGAGTTTCAAAGTACTTCTCAAATAATAACTAATTTAGACAAAAGGTAAGTGGCCTAAAGATTACTATAACATTTGTTTTCCTAAAATTAGATATGGATGAAATCATCCCTTATCCAGGATATGGAATCAGTGGATAGGGAGTAAAGTTCAGGTGTGGGTGCTCACTAGGCACTATGAAATGGCAGAAGGGCAGCAATGGACAGGCCTATCCCCAAGGAGCTGACGTGAAGGAGAGGAGACAAAATACATGGAGGGGAAAGTTACAAGAAGGATAACCACTGTGAGAATAAAGGAAGTGGCTCCAGGTTTCTACTAGATGGCAAGTCCCATTGGGGGAGGGGGGGTCCTATGTCTCCTCCTTGGAATGATGTCTAAAAAATATCGCAGAAGTGGACTGAATTGCAAGTGGGACTTGGGCTGGATCCTAACAGAGAATCATTTTGAACAGTAAAAAGGAGGCTTTAACAATTTAAGTAAGGCCCGGGAAGTCTGTAAGTGGCTGGGAGGGACAGGCTCAGATACAGGGAGAGCAGTTTCCCTGTATTCACCTACGCTTTGCTTTTTAGTCAAAAAAGAACTGTATTAAAGCATTAGGCACAGATATCACTGTTGCTAATTTTAAAATAATGATAGCTATTAAAACAAAACTCAGAAGCAACATAATCAACTAGGTTGATTGTCCATTAGATCTTTATTATTGATTACTGCTTACTTTTAACCCTGGTTTTACCCCTGATCTTGGGTAGAGTCACAATCCTAAAACTCTGAACGGTAAGGAGCTGGCCAGAGGACAGAATTTCATGTTGAGAAGCAGTGCGAGAAGGCATTAGATCTGGGTGACGGGGATAAATGTGATGAATAGTACAAACAAGGGAGGACACAAGAAGATGACAACAAATTTGGTTTGGAACAATGGGCCGCAAGTTGCCAGCAGAACATCTAAAAAGCGAAGACTCCAGCTAGTGTGAGAGACCACAATCTGAGATCCAGATCTTAAAACCATTTTCATAAAATCCATGATTTTGAGGCTACAACTAATCAATTCCCTAAAGAAATAACTGTAGATGGAGACCATGTCTCAAGCCAGTGCCTAGAGTAACTTGAAATAATATAGACTGACAGAAGAGGCAATAATGAATAAAATACAGAAGGAAACGGAAAGATAGTAGGTAGAAAACTAAAGTTACGTTACATTATCCAGACCAAGGGAGAAGAGAGCCTCAAAGCCAGACTGACTGGTCAGAAGACAGAGGGTTTATTTCAATAAAGGAGAACGGTGACTAATAGGGGCCCCTAGATTTGGTACAGTAGTGGTCACAGGTGTCGTTTACAGAAGAGTTTTGACAGAGGGATAGCATTAGAGGCCAGATTACAATAAATTAGTGAAACCGAAGGGTAAAACATCATGTGTTCCAGAAACACAAGAACAACAGGGGAAATAAATAGAACAAATGCTAAAGAAAACAAGAAAATAAATACGATTATTTATTTTAAATTTGGGGAAAAGACTGATTAAAGATGAAGAGGAGAAATAGGAGAAAGAGAAAATAGCCATACTAAGATGGGGAGCTTATATATGGCAAGGAGACATTCACATGCTAGGAAGGGCACAAGTAGACGGGACTTAGGAAGGGAAGAATGACTCCTTTGCTGAGGCTATTTCAAAGGCAGAGCTGTGCTGCCAAAAAGTAGAGGTCCGTGAGGTCACACCAGACAGCTCTGATCTCACTAGGCAGAGATGTTTATAGAGAAAAGGTCTCAGGATTTGGAAATCAAGTCCTAGCTTTGAACGGCTGGGTAAGCTACAACCTCTCTAAATCCAGTTTTCTCTATCTGTAACAGCTAAAATACCTTCACAAGATGGCTGTGTAAAATAAATGAGAAAACATATGGACATCTACAACACTGTACAGTAAACTGTTTGTTTTACTGTCTCTCACAGGAAAGGACCATCCTTTATCTCCCTTTCATCTGTGTCTGGCAAAATGTAGGGACTCAATAAATGCCTCTAAGAAAAGAGTTAAAGAGTAAAATGTTAAGAGTAAAATAAAAATAGAAATGAGTGCGAAGGAATGGTGGAAAGGGGAGGGAGAGGGAAGAGAAGGAAAGCAATCACCAGGTACTTAATTAACATCAATAAGCTTCTGAATGAATCTAAGCAGAGGTTTAAAGAAAAGGAAGTTGGTTTAGAATAGCTTCTCCAGGAGCTAGGCTGGCGAGTTAATTGAAGAAGTAGAAAACCAAGAGTCAGGGCAGGCTTGAAGTAGGACAGCATGAACTTGTACTAGGTCAAGTTAGCACTGTTTTTCACTTCCTCCTAGCATGGAATATTCTAACAGCAAAGAAAGCAGGCTGATGAACACAATTTCTCTCATATTCCTTCTAAAAAGCACTGAGCATTCAATAAATATAATTTCTATTAAAAGAAATTAGAATAAAGCATGTCTTAGCTCATTTTCTCCCCAAATATGTCATGGTACAAATGATACTGATTTCTTTTAGAACATGAAGGGCTGCAAAGGAAATATGAATGCAGATAGGCCGCCTACCAGTGCCTGAATCTAAGACAAGCAGTAAGAGAAGCTATAAACATATATATTCATTTGGAAAAGATATGTTAGTACCTGGCCGGCCAGGGCGTGCAGGCCTACGATGATGAGGGGGGAGGACCTGTGAGTGTTTGCATGTATTAGTTCAGGGTGGGAAGGAAGTATTCAGAGAGAGAACATTTGGTAAACCCAACACAAAAGCAACATTTAGGGATTAGGTTTAGGGTGACTGTAGGGGACAGTGGTGGTGAGATAAACACATGGTTGGGGCAGCGTATGGGAATGAACGCTTTTGTAAGTTGTTTGTTAATTTCCAATGACACCTTAACTTATACTTATAGAATCTTATGGGTGGGGAACAGGGGTTTTATAGACTATCTACATTTTCCAACATCTGTTCTAAAAATATTATGAAGAATTAACTTTAAAATTAACTATTTAAGTACAGGTACTAAAAAGGGAAAGCATCTGTGCAGTCACTTCAGTTTCTTAATAAATTATTTTAGGAATATTACCTACCTATTTTGACTCTCCCCCTTTCAGGACCTTCTCCCATTACTAGGATATTTGCTGGTTTCTAGAAATAAAAATAGAGCATTCAAATTACTGTGTTTATTCTTTTGACATGCTCTAAAATGGAGAAAAGTTCTTATAATATGAAAATATCATTTCTATATTTTTATCAAAACTATAATCAAATACAGGCACTCTCTACATAGTAGTTAAAGCATTTGACATTCCTGGAGTTAGCACTAACTTTATATAAACATCCTTGTCATGGAAACATACCTTGTTTTCAAAATTGTATAATACCAATAATTATAAAGCAATTAAAGCTATCACTTCTATTCACCCCATGGAAGAAAACTGATAATTTTTAAACCTGCATAAATTATAAACTGCCTGTTCACTGTCAACAACAAAGAGTTTATGTGGCTGAAAATTTTTCTGTAAAATTTCAAACCACAACATAATTGCCTTTATTTAAGTAAATCAAATAGAACTACCTTAGGAAAACATGATTAACATTTAACAGACTCCATTAAATTTCATGTATCAGCTATAGTACATGCAAAAGCAAGAAATTCCAAATATAATTTCAAGATATAAGAAAATAACAACCAGTGCTAATACAGAGCTATATAAAGAAAAGAGCAGGTTGCAAACGTATCTCTACCATCTTTTAAGACCTTCTCACCTACAGACATTTGGAAACAGAGATACCATGGAGATAGGTTTTTATTGAGGAAAGGAACAAGTAAATCTCTTGTGCAAAATCTTTGGAGAGAAAATGCATATGTTTTAAACTTACTGGACTCATTTATTTGATCAACAAATACATTTTTAGTATCTTCTAAGGATAAAGAACCATGTTAAACCCTAAGAGAAAAAACAAAGGTACAGTAAAAACCAGGTTCCTGAAGTCCAGGTGCTCATTATACAAGTAGAAAGAAAATTAAGAAGCACTGGCCGGGTGCATTGGCTCACACCTGTAATTCTAGCACTCTTGAGAAGCCAAAGCAGGAGACTGCTTGAACTTAAGCGTTCAAGACCAGCCTGAACAAGAGTGAGACCCCATCTCTACTAAAAGTAGAAAAATTAGCTGGGCATGGTGGCAGGTGTCTGCAGTCACAGCTACTCAAGAGGGAGAGGCCAAAGGATGGCCTGAGCCCAAGAGTTTGAGGCTGCAGTGAAGCCACTGCATTCTAGCTGGGATAACAAAGTGAGACTCTGTCTCAAAACAACAGGCCGGGCATGGTGGCTCACGCCTATAATCCTTGTACTCTGGGAGGCCGAGGTAGGTGGATAGCTTCAACTCACGGCTTTGAGACCAGCCTGAGCAAAAAGCAAGACCCCATCTCTACAAAAAATAGAAAAACTGAGGCAAGAGGATCGCTTGAATCCAAGAATTGGAGGTTGCTGTGAGCTATGACACTTTATCCAACATATTGCCAGAAATAAAAAGGGAGGTATAGAGCCACGGCACTCTACCTAGGAATACAGCTTGAGACTCTGTCTCAAAAACAAAACAGAAACAACAAAACAAACAAAACTCTACAACTTGAACTATACCTCAGAAAGGAAAACAATGTAGCCTCAACCTCTGTACCCTTATATTAATCTGAAATAAAAATAAAGTATAGACCACATAAAGCAGCCTTTGGTTTGCTATGGAAATGGTCTTCCTTCAAATCACAAACCATTTCACTGTCAACAGGCATATCAAAATATCATGTTGTGTATCTTAAATACATAAATAAAACCTAAAACCAAAAAGCATTGTGTAATATTAGAAGATATGAGTTATAGAATGTACTGAAGTCTTAGGTTAGAGATTCCTGGATTACTTTTAAGATCCCTTCCAATTTGCTGATTTTTTTTTAACATTTCAATGAAAACAATAAGCACTAAAAAATCCTTCAAAGGAGGGTGCCGCCTGTGGCTCAGTGGGTAGGGCACCAACCCCATATACCGAGGGCGGCAGGTTCAAACCTGGCCCCGGCCAGCTAAAACAGCAGTGGCAACTGCAACAAAAATAACCAGGCATTGTGGTGGGCACCTGTAGTCCCAGCAACTCGGGAAGCTGAGGCAAGAGAATCGCCCTAGCCCAAGAGCTGGAGGTTGCTGTGAGATGTGACACCACAGCACTCTATGGAGGGTGACAAAGTGAGACTGTCTCCTAAAAAAGCAAAACAATACTTCAAAGGAGGAAGTGATTAACTAAAGATTTCATTGTTAAGGGAAATGTCCCTGGGGCTGGGAACAGTGTCCATCAGCCAGATTCTGAAAAATAATGAGGAACCAGCATTGCAGGGTAAAGGGAGGGCAGGGACACTGCAGGAGCCAGCAAAGGCTGTGACTGGGTTTACATAGGACATGGTAGTAAGTCTGAC